ATCATTAAATTTAAAATTGATTTGAAATGGACGAATTTGATTTCACATTGAATTGGAATTGGATGATTTAATTTAACATTGAATTGAAATTAGATCATTAAATTTGAAATTGATTTGAAATGGACGAATTTGATTTCACATTGAATTGGAATTGAATGATTTAATTTATCATTGAATTGAAATTAATTAATTTAATTTAACATTGAATTGAAGTTATATCATTAAATTTAAAATTGATTTGAAATGGACGAATTTGATTTCACATTGAATTGGAATTGGATGATTTAATTTAACATTGAATTGAAATTAGATCATTAAATTTGAAATTGATTTGAAATGGACGAATTTGATTTCACATTGAATTGGAATTGAATGATTTAATTTATCATTGAATTGAAATTAATTAATTTAATTTAACATTGAATTGAAGTTATATCATTAAATTTAAAATTGATTTGAAATGGACGAATTTGATTTCACATTGAATTGGAATTGGATGATTTAATTTAACATTGAATTGAAATTAGATCATTAAATTTGAAATTGATTTGAAATGGACGAATTTGATTTCACATTGAATTGGAATTGAATGATTTAATTTATCATTGAATTGAAATTAATTAATTTAATTTAACATTGAATTGAAGTTATATCATTAAATTTAAAATTGATTTGAAATGGACAGATTTAATTTACCACATTGAATTGAAATTGAATGATTTAATTTAACATTGAATTGAAAATGAATGATGTCATTTATCATGAAATTGCACTTTTAAAGTTCATTATTTAATGTAGTATCGAACGATGATAGTAATTTTAGTAACATTATTTAATATCGAAACCTTGATATTTCTCGATGTTACCAACTATTATGCTCTGTTAGTCTCTCGATAAAAGCATTCGATAATTCCGTAATTTGTTCACGCATGCTAACGGGGTACAGAAATAACTATAACTCGGAAACATCGACTGTGCTTCTCGAGCATTAAAGTTGGCGTCACATTTTATAAATAATTAATAACTTTTCACTAGTAATTGATTACTAAGAATATTTACTACGCAACATTCACGCTCCACATATTATTCACAAAATGAAAATCGTTGGTGTATAGAGGAAAGAGTTTAAATAAATTGTTCGTTGATTTTAACTGTAACTAATTATTGCGAATATTTTTATTTTCATATGCATTTTCAATATTTAATTAATAATTGTTGTAGCAGTTTCAATATTCAATTCACAATTATTGTAAAATTTGCAGTATTTAAATCGTAACTGTTGTAAATAATACGATACTGAATTTTTAATTGTTGCAGTAGTTTCAATATTCAATTCACAACTATTTTAACATTTCCAGTGTTAAATAAGGAACTGTTTTAATATTTGCAATATTTAATTTGCAAATGTTGTAGTAATTCCAGCATTCAAGTCACAATTATTGCAACATTTGCAACATTGACTTGACAATTATTGCAGTATGTATTAACAATATTTAATTTGCAATTATCGTAATAGTTCCAACGTTCTATATACAACTATCGCAACATTTGCAATATTATACTAGGAACGACATTTAACATCTACAACATTTGGAGTCACTAATTTTTGGCTTAACGTTGTATATGAATGTTCGCATTATAACATTTACAGTGATGTGAATTATTCTACCATTTTTATTCATTAGTCTGTTATTGAATAGAGTCAAAGTAAATTTTACAGTTTTAGTGTTATTTTAACGAAAATTTAATAAAACATCATATTTGTATATTTCTATATTGGAAACAATAAAAATTAGAAATATACAAACCGGACATTATGTTTTCGTTCGGACGTTAGTAACAATGTAAAAATTACTTGGAGCCTATAATTATGCACAGCACTGTAAAATTTACAATTGACCATCTTTTACGCGCGATGCTTACGAATTCTCCATTGTTTGTTCGCAGGGCGTGGTTTTATTGCAAAGCATGCCACGAGGATATAAAAGACGAAACTCTGATCAAGAAATGCAAGTGCAAAAATTGTAAGTTTTTCTAGTCTAGTGACACCCCTTTAACAGTTTCAAATTTCAATCTCTCGTTCAGTTTCTACCGGGTCTCTAATTAACTGACCTCCAGCTCTTTCGGAAAAAAACTTAACCAAACAACAACAATAATAATAATAATAGTAATAATAATAATAATAATAAGTATAATAATAATAATAATAATAAGTATAATACAAATACGTATATGTATTCACGTACATATACATATATATAATAACTGTATATATATTACATATCAGAACCCCCTAAGATCGATTCTAGCTTCGACGAGTACAGTGATGTAGCGGGCGGTTTACGACTTCGCGTTTTGCGGAAAAAAACGAACTCTGATTTACCCCCACCCCTTCTCACTCTATTTCTTTCTCTCTCTCTCTCTCTCTCTCTCTCTCTCGCTCTCTCTCTCTCTTTCTTTCTCTCTCGCCCTTACCGACCCTCCACCTTCACATCCTTGCGCTACGGGAAGCCGTAGCGGTAAATAAACTGCTACGATTAACGAAGTGACATGGTTATGACCACCCTGTTGTGATATATTGTGATCTAGTGGGGCAGCAGCAGCGCTCTTGGGGCCGGGACTTAGGTAACGTCTCACACTCGTTCGCTTAGTCTTTAACTACCGTCGCTAACTATCTCTCCTTCAAAACTTTTGTTCTTGTGTATATCTCTTCTCTTCTTCTATCAAGTTGCTATTTATTTCTGTTCAGTTACACACGTTTCGAATCCCATCCACTTGTAACACTGAACGATCTCTCTGTCTGCCTATATATTTATATATACATTTATATATACACATATATACATATGATGTATCTGTCCAATCTATGGTGGATCGTTCACGAACCTCCATTTTGTTTTGATTTCCACTCCCCCGCCGCCTAACCTCTTTTCTGGTTTCTCTATTTCTGAACCACTTCTATCTGTCTATCTATCTCTGTCTCTTTGCATATTTCTATCTCTCTGTGTCTTACTTGTGTGTACATATATGCCTCGATTTTTTAACCATTTGATCTTGCATACATGTATGCGAACAAACCGTTGCGACCATCAGTCATTGCGTTGATGATTATATATCACGATGATTATGGATCACGGCACCATTGATTCTCATTGAACGACACCCTTCGAGGCGTTCGCGCCGTCATCGACTCGGCACCATTCGTTCTTCACGGTCCGCGCGATCGTTCGGCTCACGGTCACTGATCGGAACGGTCAGGCTCGGTCGTTCACCGAGCTGGTCGCACCGTTGGTCACTGATCGGAAAGATTAAATTCGGTCATTGGTCGAGATGGTCACGCCATTGGTCACTGACCCGACGGTAAGCTTTCGATCACTGACCCAGCGATCAACCTCCGGCCATTGATCCAATGATTAGCCCCGAGACGCGAGAGATTACAGCGTTCCGATTCCAAGCCACCGCAACGATCAGATTTTGGTTTCTGACCAGTACAATCAGAGTTTAGTCGTTGATTATGACCACTGAACAGCTGAACTGACCGGCCGAAATAATTAGAACTTGAGTAGATTAGAGTTTGGTCGCTGACCGTATAGATTTAAGTTTAGTCACTGTATGTAATGGTCAGAGTCTTGGTCACTGACTAGCGCGATCACAGTTTGATCAGTGACCAGAGTAACCAAAGTTTAATTGTTAACCGTGCTGATCAGAAACAATTTAGTTACTAGCCAGTGCGACCAGAGGTCGTTGATGATCGTTGGCCAGAATAATCAGAGCTTGGTCACTGACCATGACCATGCAGAATATATTCGGAAGCGAGAATTTCGTAATCGGAGTTCATTTTTGCGAGACGATGGTAAACACGAAATATCGCGAAGAACGAAGTGCCACGAATACATGACACCTGACATGTAATAAATCCAAAATAGTTCAGTCAGTTGGCGCATGTCCACCTGGCCAATCAAGAATTTAGCCTGCACTCTAGTGTGTGCCCTTCTCGCTCGTCTTGCATGCCTACTTAGATATCTCAATCCGGGTATTTTTGATGCCTCGACGGCATGAGAGCTTCGTACTTTCTCTCTCTCTCTCTTTCTCTCTGTCTATCCATCTATCTATCTCTGTCTCTCTGTCTCTCTTTCTGTCTCTCTCTATCTCTGTTTTTCTTACTCTACTTCTCTCACCAGTTTCTGTGGCTGTCTAAAAACCAACCCTGAAAAAAAGTCTTTCTTCGGTCACGCGAGAACTCTCAGCGTGCCAGCTGTCATTGATGAGACTCCCGCCGGTCCGATTGACCGCGAATCGACGTCCGCGCGTCTTCTGCGCCCCGCCCCGCCCCCGCCCCGCTCTAGCTCCGCCCAAACGCGCTCGGCTCCCGCGCGACCGCGTCACTTCAACGGTAAGAGGGGCCGGTCCAGCTCCGGAACGAGCAAGGGCGCCGCGACAGACCTTCCAGCGGGGACCCATGGTCCGCCGCTCATGCGACACGACACCCACATACACACCCACGCACACAGCTCACCCGAAACCATCGAGAATGCAACGCCGCCGCGTCCCATCACAACAGCCTTTAAACCCTGGGCAGTCAACGTCCCCCCCTCCCCACGGAGACAGGCTTCGCGGCGCGCGTTAGCTCTCGGCTACATAGGCGGACACACCCGACGGCTTCACGCGTGAGCTTCCAGGTCGATGTGGCTGCGCTCAGCGTAGATAGTGGCGAGCATCTCATCGCTACACGCTTGTCCGAGACTAACCTCAATGGGAAAGACCCTAACGCAACTGACCATGACCGACAGTAACGGTTAGGACACCTGCTAACTTGATTTTTGAATAGTACGAAAACCAAAATATTTTTTTCGATTTTTACGTGGAAAAAAAGCCTGATGGATCCCACGATTTGCAGTGAGTTTTACCTTATCTCTGAGAACCCCCGCCTCCAGCCCCGGTTAGACACAGTACCCGGATCCTATGTGTTTATTTACAAACGTGTGTCCGGGCCGACCGCTCGATTTTTCCAGATGTGGGGATGATGATGATGCAGACCGGCATGGTGAAAGGGAACACTGCCTACAGCAGTTACCTGGACGGTACGCGTTTTTACGCATCCCTATCCTGTTCATCCCGTTGCGTTTCCTATCGTCGAGTTACGTTCTGAATCTCGTCGGAATAATAATATATTCTACCAAAGTACAATATTTGATCTAATTTACTATCGAAGAGTAGTGAAACATTTTTAAAATCCAATCCGTCTGATCATTATTATTCCGACCAGGTCTCTCTGTTTGAGTCAAAGTGTGCGATTAGGCATGCATAGTTTCGCCAATCGGATCGAGAAACGTTAGAACAGTCTGCGAATAGGTTGAATTTCCGCGTAAAATTGTTGGTCATGTATTTTTGTGAGTGTTACCGGCGCAGGACGCGCCAGAGGGCGTGGTCATTGCGCGCTCACTGCGTACTCACTGGCGCAGACGCAGAGCACCGCGTAACCAGTCATGTGACTCCCTAGCGCGGACACGCCCGTCGCGTGGCTGGTCGTGTGGCTCTCTAGTTCGGGCACGCCCCACCACGTGACGATCCAGCGCATGCGCACTGCGTCACGACGGGGAATAGCCTACTGGTCGAAATGGCCAGGCAAGCTTCTCAGTCCCGATTGGCGAAGCCATCAGTTCTGGTTTGTTGCATACTGTGTATCTGTGTTCGTATTCGACGGTCCGATATTCGACAGCGATTGACTCAAGCAGAGGTTGATTAGTTTTGACGTTTCGAACGAGGTAAGGTAACATAAGTGGCGCAAACAGGTGCAAATCGAAGTTTAGCGTTTGTATTCCGTGTTCACCTGCACTTACTTCACAGTAACTTTGAACTTTTCTGCTCTTTGACATTGTTCAGTTCGTGACTGTTCTCGTTGGGCTTATGCTAGAGCTGAAGTTGCCGAGCATCGTTCTCCGATCAAGGACGGTCGAGATCGAGCCGGATGTGAACCGTTGGACAATAGTGGATTGTTCGTACCACGTGATTTTTTTATTTTCGAGGTCTGTGTTACTGGAGATTTCATTGAGGGTCGGGCTTGTAACATTTAGCGTGATTAGAAATGTATAATTGCATGGATATAAATCGAGAATTATTGCGAATCAACTATGGATATGACATTCGGGCTTGCTAAACAAAAATTTGTTGAAATAGAACCGCAATTGGGCTTCCTAAAAAGACAGTATATTTAATATTTGAATCAAATTAGATTTCATTTCAGGCTCTGTCATTTGTGTATTATAAAATAGTTTTTGTATTTGACACGAAGAACAGGAAGATTAAATATTCGTTGTTAGACAAATTTACTTTTATATTTTGTGAAATATAACATTTAATAAAATTGTATTAGAAAACGAAATTGATTTTTCGAAAAATCTTGACACTTACTTTTAAGTAAAATAAATCTTTAAGGAATTAACTATGATAAAGCAGTTAAAAATAATTATAAATATAAACGTCAAGAGAACATAAATCTTCAATTACATTTAAAAAAAAAAGAAGATTTTAGTCATCCTTTTCTGTAATATAAACCTTGTCGAAAATCAAAAAATTATTTGGTACGAATATGTTTGAAACTCGCTGCAACTTACAGTGTTCAAGAGATTATTTGTCATTCTATTCATTGACGAAATCATTCATCCATATTGACTACACAATGAAAAGGAAACAGCAGCTGCAAAATTTTCTGTAATCCTGAAATCAGGAATGTCATTTTCGCGAACTTTGTCCAATTTTAGTTGATAAATTAATTAGTGTTTGCAAACTATAAAATACTTTCGTTTGCTTGTCTTCAATAAAATCATTTAATTTTACTTGTACAAGAAAAGAAGTTTAACTTTACATGATTTCACGTTAAGTAATTTTTTATGACAAAGTTAATAACATTTATAGCTGTCAGATATTTCAAAAGAAATGGCTTTTTAAAAAAGAATCAAAGAACAATATTTGAATTACAAATATCACTGTTGGAATAAATTTTGCAGCAAAATTTCGGAAAATTGACAAATATTTTTCTTGTTTGCTGTACGGGGTGTCAGAAAAGTAATGGTCACGTCTAGTGAATACTCCACACATTATTTATATAATAATAAAAATTCATGTTGAACTTTTTATTACTTTGAGAGTGTATAGAGCTATCAAGGAACTATGTGCCACAAATATATCGTTTTCTCTATAAATAATCAAAGTTTTGCTGCCTCTTGAAGATTGTCAATCAGCAAATGCCAAGAAGTAGCAGTCGATAAAGTAATTATTTCCAGAAGTAGATAAAGTAATTATTTCATGATGAAACTTGAACTGCATATTTCTTGAAAACGTTGCATTTTGCAACATAGTTCCTTAACAACTTCGTATCATCTCAGCGAGCTGTACACGATGTCGCAATGAAAAGTATCAACGAAAATTTGCATTGTTATAAATATCTTTGCAAAGTGTGGAGAATTAACTGTAAAATGTCCGTTACTTTTACATCATTCGACAGACATCTCGCTTCAGTTACCAGTCGAAAGACCGCCGCGTCGCTTCTGCAGATACGCATTTCCGCTACGCACGTAATTCAGATCGTATATTCTGTGTCTACACGTTCATGGCTGTTACGTTTCACTAATATTAATCAAACTTGCTCGTTCCAGGCTTGGCAATAATTGAACGTTGTTTCGTTGTGCTGACACCAAAGTCCCATTGACTCATTTCTCCCGCGTATTGGTCCGAGAACGTTTATTCGTACCGTCGGCGAATCGGTTGACCGGCGGCTCCGTCGGTAACGTCGATCGCTGTTTCTTGTTTGGTTGTGTGCTCCGCTTAGAGATTTGGCAACGATGTGGCAGGCTCGTTTAGGGTCGGACGTGCTATTTTTCGGAATAGGTTTGCCTTGACGCAGGCGGTGCCGAGGTACGTGCTAAAATTTTCAAAATATTAAAGTGGGCAGACAAAAATGTACAGAATGCTTGGTATGTTCGGAGAACGTCTCGTTCGCGCCACCGTATTTTTCGTAAGATTTGTACAGTGCATACACATGCTCGGATCAGAGATCTTCGCAATCTGAATTCAGCGAAATTTCGGCAATAATCGTAACAATGTTTTTTTGAAAATTTCACTCGTATTTATGTTTTTACTACAACGACTTTTTATCGAAGCTCATAACTTAACGTACATTTTATTCATAATGGATACTTACGGGTCGTGTAAAGGTCCCTTGGTTTTTTAAAATCGAATATGTTTTCGGATACGATATTTAATGCACTTTTTAAATCTCCATGAAAGAAATAGTTTTTTAATATCATTTTTTGTGGAGACCTAGTTAGCTGTGTTGAATGTGATATTAACAAATAGGATTTGCTTTAAAACAAGGTTTGACCTTCGTATGACCTCTACGGAAATTTAATGGTTAACCAGGAACGATATTTGAGCATCTCGTTAACTGAATTTTGCTGTAGTATTAATGTAACAGTACTAGTGTAAATTTTTTCAAACGTTTCTTACGATTATTTGTTTGCTGTTCAGACGGAACTTATTCCCCTCGTTTCTAGGCTGTCCTCCTGACTTTCCAGCTTCCCAGCCAGCTTTGTTTTCTCTCGTTTTCTGAGTTGAGTGGTAAGGTGAGTGCATAAGTTCAAGCATTTTCCAAATACGGTCGCGAAAAATTATTTTTGGGCTTCACTGTACCACAAATCTATTTTTTATTTTCTATATTATTATCACCATAAAGGTAAATATCTTGTTCAACTATATAATGTGCAATTTGCTAACGGAAAATTCGTACAAATTTCTTTAAACATTCTTTTTAAATTAACCCAAAATCTTGTTTTCGCTACATCAGCTATTGCCCTTCTTATATATAAATGACACCCTGTATGTTTCTTGTCTACACATATATTTGTATTGTTCATGCAAGAATATGTTCAACGACCTATTACACGACGTCCTTCGTGTGACCCTAATCGGAGCTATTCAACCCCCAAAAACAAATTATACACTTCGAACGCTCAATTACATTATTCAGTGTTAATACTGAAAATGAAATAATTCGCGTTAAAACAGTTAACAATAAAATGTAATATTTCAAAATTTGTCGAATAATCTTTTGTACAAAAATATCCATTTGTATAAAAATTGCAACTTCTTTCAAAGTTCTATTCAAAATGTGTAGAACTTGTGTGCTCACGTGTGCTACAAATAACTGGATCTCAGAACTCTATGCGTCCAAACTATCCCAAACAGTGAAAGATCAACAAGCTGAAATAGAATCAAACAATTGTCTCAACTTTTGCAAATTGATCCTCGGAAAACCGTAAATTCGGATAAAGCTTGACGTTTTAGCAACCGTCAAAACTTCCAATTCTCGATCCAATACGACCGATCGAGTGCCCTTAGACACTTCGGTTTATCAGAAGCCACTAGAGACGACCCAGTGTCGTTATCTGCAGAGGATTCTGACAGTTAAGGCAGCATTGTGGTGATCCTCGTCTCGGTTCGTGCCCCAAAAGACAATTCAATATGGCTGACCCGACGCATGCGCGGGAAAGAATCCTAAATTTGATATCTTCGAGGCAATTTTGTTAAGAAAACGATGAAAATTCGTAATCTACACCGATGATGATCGATGCCCAGGGTTTATCAAACATGCCGGCCAAATAAACTCCGTATCCCCTCCACACGTCACACACGCCCACATCATTCATCAATATCACCATGTGTGTTGTTGTTAACATTAATTTTGGGGAAAAAGGTGACTCTTGGATTACAGTAACCGCATACGCGGTGGAAAAGTGTTTTTTGTGTGTTCCGCCCTCGTAGACCGAAGCCATTAACCAATTACCACCGGTGTTAACAGCGAAATCTACTCTGTTGACCGTCGCGCTGCAATGAGAACATTTGAAATCCACTTTTCCTTTTTTTTTATTCGACAAATTCGTCATGAAAATCGAGCAAAAATTCTCGAGAATCTCGTCAGATATATCAGATTTCGAATTGATCGAAATTTATGGAAGTTTCGCGGTGATTTAAGCGTTTCAATGATCGGCGGGAGATTTGAAATCACTGCAGCGTTCGATCGGTCGACGGAGACTGGATCTACACATAGACCCTCTCCACCTGTTGCCACCTCCTGCATCTAGGTTGACATTATTTTGGTATGACAACTAACAGCTCTGGTTCTCCTCCCTTCGGGCAGTGGCCACATTCCGGAAAGGCGTGCGAGCTGTTCAGATGGTTAGAAGAACAAGTATGTATCCCCGCGTGTAGATCAGATTCCACGTGTTACACCCTTTCTTTTTCTTTTTTCGTTCGTGTATTCCCGGAGGACTAGCCGAGAAATTCAGAACGTTAAACGGGACCTTCGAGTCGACGCTGACCATGGTGTGCTAAGCGGTTACAGAAAACCCCGATGCTCGACAGACGGGCGCGCCTGACTCGAATGTCACGTGGATACTTCTTTACCGCCTTTTATCGTTCGGTCGAGACATGTTGCTCGAGACACAGGCGTGGGCATTATTTCAATGTTTATTCGACAGTATTTGTATGTATATTTTTGTGTGTAATTTTATAAAAATAATCAACTTAAATCATCTATGATCCTCCGAGTACGGTGTCGGTGTCATTTTTGACCTCTCGCGCCGGCTTCAGGCTCTCCCCACCACCACCTTCGCCGCTTCTGCGGGGAGAAACGCTTGCGTGCGTTTCTATACTTGTATTCAAAATTACTCGAATCCTCGCACCTGAGGGAACCTCGAGGAACTATGAATGCGTCTGCATTAGTGAAATGTCGGTGTGGGTCGGAGATGACCCCGGCACGGCACCGTACATCCTAGTGCTCGGAGGGTTAATTTTATCGTATGTAATGATAACAGGTTTTTCTGTCCGCGTGGAATATTATTGCAGTTAAGAGATCAATGTATTTGAAGTCTTAATTATTTGGTGTTCCAGAAATTCCGTTAAAGTCGAAAAAGGGGATTCCCGAGGTGATTTGGAATAACGTTTTCCTTTGCGAAAATGTTGGTCGCGGCTTCGTTGACGAGTTATTAAGGAAAAACCTGGACCAATCAGAGAGCGAGTACGGCTGGCGTGTTACAGCGCAGCCTATGCGGCGTCGTGCTTGCACACCGCGACTACGGGGCGCTAACTGTACTTAGTTCCTGATTGGTTCAAGCTTTTCGTGAATGCAGTAAATTCTCCTTAATTGACGCTCAGATTGTGCACTGAAATGGACAATTTGGGAAGATGAGATACGATTATTCGAGCCTTGTTTTTATAGTTATCGATTGTCAACAACAAATTGTCAATCAAGTAATCGTACCTCCTCTTCCCAAATTGTCCGCAACCTTAGTGTCAATTAGGTAATTATAACAACTCGTTAATTATAATAATAATAATTAATTATAATAATCAGTTAATTATAATAATAATTAATTATAATAATTAATTATAATAATCAGTTAATTGTAATAATAATTAATTATAATAATAACTTATTAACAAAGTTCTAACAAACATTTTCGTGAAAGGAAAAATCAATTTTCTAAATCACCCGAGGAACTGCAGAATTCTGGTACACGCTGTATTTAGTAAGATTGTAGTAAAATTTTCTGTTCCATTATTTCTCAGTCCCTGACTGTCCCTATTTAGTAAATGTAAAATTCAAGAAAATGTGTCAAATGTTCTCCTTAGTATTCAGTGGATAAATAATTATACACTTTGCAGTTCTTTTATTACTTTGGATTAATTCGTGCCGAATCGTAAATGGTGTGATTGCAACAGAGGATAAATATGCTGCTTTTCTAGATTGTCTGTTTTAGAATTAAGAGGTAGTGATATTGAAAAGATAATAGTTTATTGTTTCGAGTTATCATTTGTAATTTTGATTTCAAGTGAAATTTGCCCAAGCCTGGTTACAAAATTGATGTTGTTACTTGTAAATTATTCTAAACAGTTGTAAACTGTTGTTTCAGTTGTATATTGTTGTAAACAGTTATAAACTATTGGTTCGTGAGTATTTTAGAGACGATCGTGTCTCGATGACTGTACCGGAAGTGAGTGGATAATGTAGATGAAGTTACGGCGCAATTAAATCGAAGATTACACGATAGAAAAATTGAACGACACTTTAGGTCGTTTGCAAACGGTCTTGCAATTTTTTGATTTCTTAACAACAACAAATTGGACGAATTTATTCTTCAAACGTTTCGCATTTATTCTAGATATTTCGGATTTTTATTCTAGATAAATAGTTATTCAAATTATTATCGTACAATTATATTTGTATATTAAATATTTTTACTTATAAACTAGAATTTTAATTTGACAGAAATTACCAATCTTAACACTCTAAACTTTTTTACTTGTTAAATTACTAGAATTTTAAAAATCAAAAAGTTATAGCAATTACAATAAATTATATTATTATATACCAGAGAAATTATTGATTGAAGAAGTTAAATGAAAATATGAATCGAAGACAAAAGACTCGAAAAAAACTCAGTTATATAAAACACAAAAAATATAATATCTTCAACATATTAAAACGAGTAGGTGTACAACTCGTTTGTGAACGACCAGAAGTGTGAACAAACCAAAAAATAAACCATAAAATTCATTGCGAACAATTTTTTAGAATATTATTATTTAACAATAAGTACTCTTTTGAACTTACATTCGAGATTAGATCTACGTACAGAGCATAGATATACATATTTGTCGTGCTAGTCAGTGTAACTTCGTTTAAATTGATATATACAGGATGTCCCACCTAACATGGCCACCCTAAACATCGCACCTATTATTAACAACACCAAAGAATGAAAGCGGAAAACGTAATTAGATTTCTCAGCACAAATATTGTTCTAAACAGAAAACTTTTTCATTATTAATTCACATATGTCGAGGTTTAAAGGTTATCTGTATTTTTTCAAACATAACCTTACATATTTTTTATATCCTTTCAGAGTATAAAAAAAATGTATACAACGGCTTTAATAACTATATTGATCATTTTGCTTCGAGATTAAATGACCGTTTAAAGAAATATCGATGACCTTGAAATCTCCAAAAAAAATGTAATCTTGAGAAAAGTTGCTTGTTTATTGCAATTTTTAGTCCTTTAAACCTAGTCATAGTTTCCTCTGACGTTGTTGGATACAGTCAATGGCAGGTGAAATATTTAGGGCTTTATAGTCAGGTGGGATACCCGGTACATACATACATATATATATATATACATATAACCACACTATTAATTTCAGAGTAGACTGTACNATAATAATTAATTATAATAATCAGTTAATTATAATAATAATTAATTATAATAATTAATTATAATAATCAGTTAATTATAATAATAATTAATTATAATAATTAATTATAATAATCAGTTAATTGTAATAATAATTAATTATAATAATCAGTTAATTGTAATAATAATTAATTATAATAATAACTCGTTAACGAAGTTCTAACAAACATTTTCGTGAAAGGAAAAATCAATTTTCTAAATCACCCGAGGAACTGCAGAATTCTGGTACACGCTGTATTTAGTAAGATTGTAGTAAAATTTTCTGTTCCATTATTTCTCAGTCCCTGACTGTCCCTATTTAGTAAATGTAAAATTCAAGAAAATGTGTCAAATGTTCTCCTTAGTATTCAGTGGATAAATAATTATACACTTTGCAGTTCTTTTATTACTTTGGATTAATTCGTGCCGAATCGTAAATGGTGTGATTGCAACAGAGGATAAATATGCTGCTTTTCTAGATTGTCTGTTTTAGAATTAAGAGGTAGTGATATTGAAAAGATAATAGTTTATTGTTTCGAGTTATCATTTGTAATTTTGATTTCAAGTGAAATTTGCCCAAGCCTGGTTACAAAATTGATGTTGTTACTTGTAAATTATTCTAAACAGTTGTAAACTGTTGTTTCAGTTGTATATTGTTGTAAACAGTTATAAACTATTGGTTCGTGAGTATTTTAGAGACGATCGTGTCTCGATGACTGTACCGGAAGTGAGTGGATAATGTAGATGAAGTTACGGCGCAATTAAATCGAAGATTACACGATAGAAAAATTGAACGACACTTTAGGTCGTTTGCAAACGGTCTTGCAATTTTTTGATTTCTTAACAACAACAAATTGGACGAATTTATTCTTCAAACGTTTCGCATTTATTCTAGATATTTCGGATTTTTATTCTAGATAAATAGTTATTCAAATTATTATCGTACAATTATATTTGTATATTAAATATTTTTACTTATAAACTAGAATTTTAATTTGACAGAAATTACCAATCTTAACACTCTAAACTTTTTTACTTGTTAAATTACTAGAATTTTAAAAATCAAAAAGTTATAGCAATTACAATAAATTATATTATTATATACCAGAGAAATTATTGATTGAAGAAGTTAAATGAAAATATGAATCGAAGACAAAAGACTCGAAAAAAACTCAGTTATATAAAACACAAAAAATATAATATCTTCAACATATTAAAACGAGTAGGTGTACAACTCGTTTGTGAACGACCAGAAGTGTGAACAAACCAAAAAATAAACCATAAAATTCATTGCGAACAATTTTTTAGAATATTATTATTTAACAATAAGTACTCTTTTGAACTTACATTCGAGATTAGATCTACGTACAGAGCATAGATATACATATTTGTCGTGCTAGTCAGTGTAACTTCGTTTAAATTGATATATACAGGATGTCCCACCTAACATGGCCACCCTAAACATCGCACCTATTATTAACAACACCAAAGAATGAAAGCGGAAAACGTAATTAGATTTCTCAGCACAAATATTGTTCTAAACAGAAAACTTTTTCATTATTAATTCACATATGTCGAGGTTTAAAGGTTATCTGTATTTTTTCAAACATAACCTTACATATTTTTTATATCCTTTCAGAGTATAAAAAAAATGTATACAACGGCTTTAATAACTATATTGATCATTTTGCTTCGAGATTAAATGACCGTTTAAAGAAATATCGATGACCTTGAAATCTCCAAAAAAAATGTAATCTTGAGAAAAGTTGCTTGTTTATTGCAATTTTTAGTCCTTTAAACCTAGTCATAGTTTCCTCTGACGTTGTTGGATACAGTCAATGGCAGGTGAAATATTTAGGGCTTTATAGTCAGGTGGGATACCCGGTACATACATACATATATATATATATACATATAACCACACTATTAATTTCAGAGTAGACTGTACCTACTATTAGTGTTTTGAGATATCCTATTGGTGTGATGTTTTTCCATTACTTTTCCTTTATTATCTTGCATAAAGAGACTCTACACACATTTCTGTCAATGTCGTCTGGAATGTAGCTCCATCTTTCATGGAGGTCTGTGTCTTTTTTGATCGATGGTTACCGCGCGAGTTGCGAGCGCCCTTTTCAATCTTGATCTTGCATCGATGTTCGATATATATACATATATAAATATATTGTATATACGATATACATTATATATACATATATATATCTAATTTATTATCGACGTATTATTTAGAGTATATATATATATTTACATATAATACTTAGAGTTAGTATACGTTCTTTACTTGCGTGGTTTTTTACTCGTCTTGTGACTAACTGATCCAACGACCATAACGGAGATGCTCTATCATGATCCGGTACTCGCTTCGAATCCTCCAAATTCTATTCTTTTTTCCGTGTGTAATTCTAACACCTTGCAGATTACAAAATTCCGAAATATTTATTTATACATCGACCTTATGTTCAATCTTACATTCTATCTTATTTAAATGTTCACTTATTATTTATTATATGCCAATTGTGAGATTTTACAAATATTTACTTAACAAATATTCTGTAACTGATTAATCATTTCGTAAATTCTTCTCATCGTGTATAGAGTCGGTTATGTGAGCGATATGTGCATACACCGTGCCAAGAAAGCTATAGACATCCGTGCTGGTGACGTCATCAATGGATTGTAAAGAAACCGCAGGATCGTTTATAACAAAGAGAATTAAATTTGAGTCGCAAGAACGTATTCTATTCGACGAGATGATTAAGCGTCTCGAAAGGACCATGCACAGAAACTGAATTGTATTCTTGTAAAAAGAAGTTGAAGTTTTGCAGAATTTCCCAAAATTATAACTTGAAAGAAGATTTTTCAAAAATCTGTAATGTTACAATGTGAGTCCAGCGAGGATGCTGAAATTGAGGACTTTAAGGGACCAAATTTACATTGATCGATCTAATTTGGGTTAAGCTATGGTCAGTGACCTAGTGACGGTAACAGGATCTATGGTCAGTGACCCGATGGCTATAATAGAAACTATGGTCAGTTACCTGATGACAGTAGTAGGATTTGTTATCACTGATATAGTGACACTGGCAAGACATATGTTTAATAACTTAGTTAGTCACGGTACAACGACTAATGGTCAGTAATCTAGTGACGGTAGCAGGACCGATGGTCAATGACCTAGTGACAGTAGCAGAACGGATGATCAGTAACCTGTAGCAGGACCTATATTCGATGGCAGTGGGACTAAAGGGACCTAGGTTTAGTGACTTAGTGATGGTACCAGGAAATATGGTCAGTGATCTAGTGACGGTAGCAGGACCAATGGTCAATAACTTGGGAGCAATAGCAGGACCTACATTTGGTGACTTGGTGATAGTAACAGAACGAATAACCATTGACCTAGTGACAGTAACAGGACCTATAGTCAGTGACCTAGTTACCGTACAACAAACTATGGTCAGTGACCTAGAGGCGGCACGAAGAATTATGATCAGTGACCTAGTGACGGTAACAGAACCGATATTCAGTAACCTGAGAGCTGTAGCGATAGTACTAGGGAACTATAGTCAGCGACCTAGTGACAGTAGCAGAACGGATGATCAGTAACCTAGGAGCTGTAGCAGGACCTACATTCGGTGACATAGTGAGAGTAACAGGACCTACTTTGAGTGACATAATGACGGTACCAGGAACTATGGTCAGTGATCTAGTGACGGTAGCAGGACCGATGGTCAGTAAGATGGGAGTTCGGTGACCAAGTGACAGTAACAGGATCTACATTCGGTGACATAGTGACAATAATAGGACCTACATTCAGTGACATAGTGACGGTACTAGGAGTTATAGTCAGTGACCCAATGACAACAACAGAATCGTTGGCTAGTGACCCAGGGAAGACATAAAAATCCAACGTTGATGACGTAATGAGAATGATTTAATAAAGTCACTGGGCTAAATGGTCAGCAACATGATCATGAAATTGTACAATCAGTAATATCGAATTTAATGACTTATTAAAGAGAATAGAACTTATAATCAGTAACCTAGTGATACTGGTAATGTCTGCAGTCAGTAAACTGGGGAATCTCATGACTCAGTGAATAGGTCAGTGGCCTAGTGAAGACGGTGAAATTGTGGTCAATTACAATATTTGGATTTCGTAAAATTCCAAAATTCTGCAAAACTTTAGGAATTGATTTTGAGAATATTGTGTTACCCCCTTAACGGGAGGAATACGTTGCCGTATATAAAAGATATTTTAACTGTTAGTTAGCAGTTGTTCTTTCAACAGCACTAACGCGGATTTGCTTTCTTGGCAACTGGTACAGTCCAACAGACAGATGTATATCAACGGTTTCCCTCGCATCTAGTTACCTTCTTTTGTCTTACATATTCGTAGTTCACCTGTGACCCACGTACACGTGTCCCTGTGTGATCGTGAACACGCGTGCGTACCCGTAACACGTACGCGTACACACTTTGTCAGTAACTCGCTACACGCATTACAGCTACACATGATCACACACAGATACATTTATATATCTATCTGCATATATACGCGTATAAAACGCGCGCGCATAATTTACGTACACCAAAATGTCAACGAACGATTAACCCTTTTAACTAACTTTCTATGTGTCTATCTGTTCGAACTTTCTTCTCTTCGCCCTCTACTACCACATAGGTGAAGACTTCTCGTATGCAAGTAAGTCCACCACGGAGCGGGTGTATCGTAACAATAATAATAATCGTAATAATAATCATGATAATGATAACGTAATTGTGTAATATATATTATATATGCCTAATATATAATACATCACACTGCCGCTAGATTTTTGCGATAATGAGAAGACGCATATATATAGATCACAGACTGTAGGTTATATATGTGGCCATCATCAATTACAGAGCAACGCTGTATTATTTTGTGCGATACTGCTGAAAGAAGAGTTCTTCCACACCTATGCACACCTATTCTTTTTTTTCTTTTTTTTTTACCTTGTTTTAATCCTACCGTCTCTTCCGCTGGACTGCCAGTTGTCTTGCGAGGGGAAATTTGCTCGTTAAAATGACCCGAAAGACGATCAAATGCCTCTTAAAAATAATTTTTTCAAACTTCGCGCCGTTCAATAGAATGACTCTCAAAATTTCTGAAAATTAATTATATATTTTGTTACATCAGTGTGTCCAGAATTATTTATCAGACCACAGCGGAAAAATATTCCGTTGCAATATCACGCGTTCAAGTAGTTAGTGTAATGATAGGGGTCTTCGAATCTCGCGGTACGTCCCTGAGTTGCGGAGCAGTCAGGACTGGGACCCTGAGCCGCGCCACTTTACCGATTGTGCTTGCATTCTAAAACGTGCAAATGGGAAACTAGTTTTACTAAAAATCTCATCTCATGTAAAATTCAGTTCTTCCTTCTAAGTTCGCTGATTTTAACAATTTAATAAAATTATATTTATTCAAAGTAACTAAAGTCTGTCTGCTTCTGGTTTTGAACGCTAACAATTTTTTCGTTGGTTTTCATGTAACGTGACAATTTTTCGACCCGTATAATTTTTTACTCTTAAATAACAATCATCATGAAAGTGCCAGATCGTTAGGAAACGTTGTGTCGTACAGAAAATTATCCCAAAATTATTCCCTCTAGGCGTTCGACGGTTTTCGGATTCATTCGGCGATTTTCCCTCGAGGATACGAAACTGTACGATACCGTTGCATGTGATAGGACATTAGGCCTCGTAGAATCCTCGGCAAAAGTTGATCAGGTACTACACCAGGTTACCAGCAACAGCCATCTCTCGAGTGGCTTCTCTACAGTCCCTCCTAAAACCGTCTCTGCGTTCGGTTGGTGACCGTATTTTGTTTGCAAATGACGAATTTTCACATCAGCCCCCCGCCCACTTCCACCCCACCCCTTTTCTGTCACGCTGTCAAGGTGTCCCCCCTCTGTCACCCTTGCTTCTGACACACAGTAGACCTCTACGATCTTCCGAGCACTCTTTCGAATCTCCCAATGTGTCGCACAAATTTTCTATGTCCGAGACGTGCACTTGCAATGTCGAGTAAATATCCACACCGTAACAGTTACCGCTGCATGATGAACGTTTAGGTAGCACTCTGCCGGAGGTGAGGACACGCGGCCATTAGACACGACTCTGTTCAAACGAGGTTTGCAAAAGTCTTTTGGAACGTTGGTCCTCGCCTCTACGAATTTTAGCATGATTAATGGGCTGTGCACGCCGCTTGGCAGTGGGGCCGTGCCACTTGGCGCCCCGTTAGGCTACGTTTGTACAACGCGGAGGAGACTCGTGCGGTTCTAATGACCTTAGGAACGTATGTATGACCTTGACGATCTCCAGGCTCGTCCGCGTTGCCACGAGCGGCACTGGGATCGGTAGCGTTCGACATGGTGTTTGTACGAGTACGCATTAGTGTCTAGATCTTGGTAGATCAACAGACGCTCCGTCCTCGATTCTTCACCTTACCGACCCAGACATCAATTGCCACTGACACGTTCTACCAGTCGTCATTATAATTTGTCGACTATTGTCTTCGTTGACGTTATAATTTTTCGGCGTTATGCCATACTTGAGATTGACAACTGTGTTTGAATGACAAGACCGTGTTCAAATAACCTCCAAGTTTGATCATGGCTTCACCGATCATGCTTGGGCCCACATCGTGCGACAAGGTATAAGAATAGGTCAGTCATCCAATATTTTTGGTCGCCTTCTGCCTCGGAGTTTTACCGAGTTGAAGGAATCTAGCAGCGTCGCATTTTCGAGCCGACAACGCTGTAAACTTTAGTCTGACTGTAAAGTCTAGTCGGTATTGCAGATCATGCGATAGAAAATCTCACAGGATGATTGGTCTACGCTTTTACTTCGTTCACGGTTTAACAGAGGAAGGTCGCGACATTACCAGCCGTGTTTGGGCCCAAACTGTGAATACACAGTGAATAGAAAGAAACTGTGAAGCATTTTCCTGTTTCCCCAGAGAATTGACTTTGAAAAGGGTCCATTTGCCAATGCGAGGTCGCGACTTTGCCGATCATGTTTGAGCACAAGCTATCGAGAAAAATATGGATGGAAACTTAAAAATATCAGTTCAATTCCAAATAATTGACTTCAGGAAAAGTTCATTTATCAATGACGAGTCCCTAATTTACCGACCTCGGGCCCAAATAATGAAGGATATTGAATGAAAAAAATTATAGAATATTGTATTAATTCTTGTAGAATTGATATCGATTTGCATTCGTGGGAATAATTATTGATAAATGATCGATGATAAATAATCGACGGTCGCTGGATAAAAGCATCGAGGACTGGATCGTGGCTTCTTAGACTGTTGAGTCGTATAGCACTGGCCAGTGGCAGTTTAGAGTAGCGACTAGGCATTAGTCGATTAGTTAGGGTAGCTAACATGTGTAGTGGTTTGTTACAGACGACCACCATCCTCCCCCTACATTCACTCCGCCAGAACTGCCCAAGATGGTTCACGTGAGAGGTACAGGTACACCTCAATCAAAACCGTGCTACAATGTCGCAAGCTGACCTTCCTTGTTTCGATAATTCACCACGATCTACATTGTGACCAATCATAACGTGCCACGGACGACACCGGACTCGTTGAGCTATTTCATCGATCGATGCGAATCGCGACAGAAAATATGACATACCATTTGCACACCATATATATATATTTTTTTTTTATTTTATTTATTTATAATATATATATATTATAAATATATATATATATTTTTTTTTTTTTTTATTTATAATATATATATATTATAAATATATATATATTTAT